CATGCCCTGAGGGAGCTCTATGTCCAGGTAGAGCCATGTATATATAGTTTTGGGTGGGAAAGCCACCCAGGAGAGTCCAGTAGGTGGACAAGAGAGTACAGAGTGATTTGCAGAAGGCAGGTCCATGGGAAGGCACAGGACCAGGCCTGCCACCATGTAGTTGTTGTGGATATCTGACAGCTTCCCCTAAGGGTGGAAGCAAAGGAGGGCAGGAGCAGCACTATCTTATGGGACTACTTGCTTGCCTTTAGGATGCAGGACTCTGAGTAATACCTCTCCATTGGCTCTGGGCTACACCTCAACTAACCTCCTCTCTGCTATCCGTAACTATTTCTGTGTTGTTGAACAAGTAATGTACCGTCATCAGCAAAAGGGATGACTGGAGCCTGTATTAGACATGTGCGATGCGTTTCGTTCCGAATCGAAATTCGGACGAATTTTCGGAAATTCGGACATTCGGATGTATCTGAATTCCGAATTACAGACATAACGAATGCAAACAAATCCGAATTTCCATTTCCGAAATTCGGTAGCGGTAGTTCGAACGTTCGTTTCGTTTTCTGTTCTTATTCGTTTCTTATTCGTTTCATTCGTTGGAGCAAAGTGACATTAGAGAAGGAGAAAAATATTTTTCCCCCCTCAAATGTCACGAACGAACGAAACGAATAAGAAACGAATAAGAACAGAAAACGAAACGAACGTTCAACCTACCGCTACCGAATTTCGTCCGAATCCGAATTCCGAATCCGAATTGACTTTCACACCCGAATCCCGAAAAACGAAATAACACAAATCCGAATTTAAAACGAAATTAAACAAATTTTTTGGCAGTGCACATGTCTAGCCTGTATTACATTGTACATAAGAAGATGTTTAGGTAAAAGTTCAAAATGCTCTCTGAGTGTAGACTAATCCTTCCCCCAACCTCTAAGATGGGCGGGTTTCTCCTGGAAGCGAACTTGTGGTGTGCTGGACTGCTGCTGTAGCAATGTAAAAATATATATATATTATTTGATGTACCAAAATGTTAGGTTTATTTTGTAAATATCTAACTGTATAGTTGCCAGTTTTGAACCAGTAGTGTTTTAGAGTGTTATTAGTATATAGAGTTTTACAGTATTTAAGTCACTTTGCTTGGTCAGGCAAATGAAGATATAGAGGGAGTAAAGGGAAGGTGCGTCAACAACCTGGGAAAGTGGACAGTTAAATAAAGCTGTTGCTTTGCCATGCATAGCCAGACCACAGACATACACTATATTGCCAAAACTACTGGGACGCCTGCCTTTACATGCACATGAAATTTAATGGCATCCCAGTCTTAGTCCGTTGGGTTCAATACTGAGTTGGCCCACCCTTTGCAGCTATAACAGCTTCAACTCTTCTAGGAAGACATCCACAAGGTTTAGGTGTGTGTATATGAGAATGTTTGAGCATTCTTCCAGAAGCGCATTTGTGAGGTCAGGTACTGATGTTGGACGAGAAGGCTGGGCTCGCAGTCTCCGCTCTAATTCATCCCAAAGGTGTTCTATCGGGTTGAGGTCAGGACTCTGTGCAGGTCAGTCAAGTTCCTCCACCCCAAACTCACTCATCCATGTCTTTATGGACCTGGCTTTGTGCACTGGTGCGCAGTCATGTTGGAACAGGAAGGGGCCATCCCCAAACTGTCCCCACAAAGTTGGGAGCATGAAATTGTCCATAATGTCTTGGTATGCTGATGCTTTAAGAGTTCCCTTCACTGGAACTGAGAGCCAAGCCCAACCCCTGAAAAACAACCACACACCATAATCCCCCCTTCACCAAACTTTATACTTGGCACAATGCAATCAGGCAAGTACCATTCTCCTGGCAACTGCCAAACCCAGACTCATCCATCGGATTGCCAGACAGAGAAGTATGATTCGTCACTCCCGGGAACACGTCTCCACTTCTCTAGAGTCCAGTGGCGGCGTGCTTTACACCACTGCATCCGACGCTTTGCATTGCACTTGGTGATGTAAGGCTTGGATGCAGCTGTTTCGCCATGGAAACCCATTCCTTGAAGCTCTCTACGCACTGTTGTTGTGCCAATCTGAAGGCCACACGAAGTTTGGAGGTCTGTAGCTATTCACTCTGCAGACAGTTAGCAACTTCTGCGCACTGTGCGCTTCAGCATGCACTGACCCCACTCTGTCATTTTACGTGGCTGAGTTGCTGTTGTTCCCAGTTGCTTCCACTTTGTTATAATACCACTAACAGTTGATCGTGGAATATTTACTGTAGTAGCAAGGAAATTTCACGGAACACCTGAATCCAATGATTTGGAGGGTTGTCCCAATACCTTTGACAATACAGTATAGTGTACTTTAAACCCTACGAGTCACAAACCTAGGCAATACAAATTAAAGAAGAACTTTGGGTGAGAATAACTATGTTTTTTGTGTAACCTAGACACAAATGAGCAGTTAACCCTTGCAGTGTGGGGGTAGCCCCACTGCAAGAGTTAATAACAAAAAATATATCTTTCTTAAGCATACAATGAAACAATGCATAACCAGAGGTTACCTTTATTAATAAAATGCTTGTCAAAACATTACCTATTTACATAGACATAAGAAGATGAATTTATTTGTTAATCTTACCCTTTCCCCAATAGATATTCAGGCTTGAACTCAATTTGGAATTTGAACTCAAACTCGAACTCAATGCAAGTCTCTGGAGGTAGAACTTTCAAAAACAATTGTCCATACCAAGATATAAACAATTCAGTAACAGGGACAGATCCCCCCCGTTGAAGTGGGATCTGTGCATACCCTTAAACACATTGACTGTCAACTCTTGCTAGACCCTTGTACTGCGACAAATACAAATCTGGATCTACAGCTTGGTGCTCTAATCCATTTACTCCATCCAAGCCCACTTGGATCTAACACCGTAACAAACTTAGTTTTCTTATCCTCTTCCACTTCAGAGTAATGACTGATATAGCTTAAGTAAAAGCAGGTAAAGCACACTTTATTTAACATATTCATTTGACAGAAATAGTGTTAAATCATCTTTATAAATTATACAATACTGAAAAATAAATCCTATGGGGCTCGGAGCTCTACCGTTTCCACTGCATTAAATGCTTCACAGTTCTTCCAGGCATAAGAGAGGGCAAAGCAGTGGATGGTTGCTGGTGTCATATTCAAGGTACATACTAATCACATTGTAGTGCATAGTTGCTGTCCATTCTGTTGTATCTTGTCCATATGTCAGAATAATTTATTATTGATATCTCCAAGAGATTTCTTACAGTTTATGCGACAACAAAATTACATGTTAGTGTTCCTTAGCGTACAAGGCCATTAAATATCTTACGCACAGCTGGAGTGTCATTTTGTCAATCGGTTTTGTGATCTCTTTTGGAATTCTTCAGCCTGTTCAAAGTAAAATGTTCCAGTTTCTCTGTAAATGAATAAATAAAATTGTTTAAAAACCAACATTTTTAATTAGGACTTGGATTTGGAATAAGAAATGCCGGATTTTAGTGACTGAAACCCTAACTCAAGTAAAAGCAATTTAAACTGCAAAAATATTTTTTACATTTTTTTTTTAGCTTATGCAATTCGAATGGGAACATGTAACAAATATAAATTAGGAGATATCCCAATTTGGCTGTGAAAGTGAAAATACACTTTAAAAGTTCATATGTAGCTTTTTTTTATCATTATAGGTCCAATGCAAAAAGGTTTAACATTAACCTAAGGCACAATATTTTTACATGTATATGTTTTATTTCTGATATTAAAGTGACATAAAATTCAGGAGTTAAATCTTAAAAATGCATTCAAGTACCTTAACTATTAACAAAACTAGACCATATTTCTATATCAATTGCCTGTAGATCCTCAAATCATCTCTGAATTGGTGGTGACACTGTCCTTCCTTCTGGAGGGTGGATACTTTTGTTCCCCATGGTCCCTGTGTGTTGTAAAGTAGTCAACGCTCCAAGCTCACCCCCCGGAATGGACTACAATCTCAATACAAATTAGTTAGTTAAACATGAGATTGTAGCCCATCACGGGTGCTTGGGGTAGTGTCTACTTTACAACACACACAGGGACCATGGGGAACAAAAGTAGCCCCCCTCCAGAAGTAAGGATTTGAGGATCTACAGTTGAGTGATGCACAAATATGGTCCAGTTTTGTTAATAGTTAAGGTAATTAATTGCATTTTTAAGATTTAACTGATTTTAGTGTCAATTTAATAATTTAAACCTTGCCTCAATTGCCTCCTGCATGTAGAGGAAATAGAAGTGATGATGATCATTAATTCATTCATTAATTGATAAATACCCCTATCAGCATTTTATTGCTGTCTGACTCCTTGTTGCAGATTTTTCCTCACTACCTGTCTGGTGAAACTATTACCACCAATACAGTGCGGGGGGAATTTCTCTAATGGAGCCCTAAATTGCAGTAGAAACTACAGGAGAGTGCTAATCATTTTCCAATCTATCCAATATTTTTTTTTTTAAAGTTTCGGCTTGACATACCATTAACTATCATCTGAACTATCACCTCACCTTACCCCATGCCAATTCCTATAAGATTCCACGCTCAGTCCTTTTGATACCAACATTTAATACATGTGATTGTATAAAACAAGATAATCCCTTCTTTAAATGTTTGAATGTCTGATTGGATCAGAGCCTCGCCAAGTGTCTCTCATGCTGAGATTATGTAAAACTATTGGCTCAGTGAAGAATTTAAATTGGGTGGTGCTCAGTTTAAAAACATCTGGCATGAGACGCTCTTGAGAACTTCCCTAATTCCACCACCAGTAATGAAGTCTCATAGATTAACAACAGCAAAATAAAAGGGTTTGCCAAGACATGTTATTTAGACAAAATAGAAGATTCAATGCACACACTATTTTTGTGGTGTTTCACCTTTTATTTGAATTACTTAAATTTTCTTCTGGCCAATTCTCACGAATATTGATATTTTTTGGGGGGTATAATGAGCCTTACCTTCATCTTGAGCTCCTTATCGTCATATGAAATTGAGATCCGAAAACAGCAGCATGCCCAGTAAGAGCGCAAATGGAGACAGAGCAATAGACATGACACCTGGAAAAAAATATTGAGATTTTAAGGGGCGCCCAGTTTTAGCGCGGTCAGTCTTATACAATAAAGTGTGTTAGGAGCTAATTTACAGTGCAGTCTTCCATAGCCCATCAAACTTTACTTGCTCCCTGATTAAACCCTTTTGGACTTCAGTCACTACTATTATTCATCAGGTGTGTGGGGCGCAGTTACCATTAGACTCTTGGGTCTGCTTGTTTCACCTTACTTTGGATTCGCCTTGCAAATACAAGAAATCTTTAATTTCCTTTATGCTTAACTAGAGCTGCAGCTAACGATTATTTTCAAAATCGATTAGTTAGCCGATTATTAAGTTCGATTAATCGGTTAATCGGATTAAAAAAATACATTTTTAAAAATGGCTCCAGTGATGGGACTACTAGTTTGTATTGAGATTGTAGTCCATCACAGGAGCAAGCTTGGAGCGGTGGAAGTTAAAAAGAAAAAAAAAGTGTGGTGTGCAATATAGTGAAATGAAAAGTGTAAAATTATACAGCAATGAATGCAGAATGGCACCGGCTATAGAGGACTACAAAACCCAGCAATAGTGCATTATACAGCGCAATGCAGAATACCACCAGCTATAGAGGAATACAACAAATCCCAGCAATAGTACATTATAGCTGGTGGCATTCTGCATTGCGCTGTATAATATACTATTGCTGGGTTTTGTAGTCCTCTATAGCTGGTGGTATTCAGCATTGCGCTGTATAATGTATTATTCCTTGATTTGTAGTCCTCTATACAGCGCAATGCAGAATATCACCAGCTATATAGGAATACAACAAATCCCAGCAATACATTATACATACAGTGTACAATGTATTGCTGGGATTTGTATTCCTATGTATAATATACAGCACAATGTACCATCAGCTATAGAGGAATACAAATCCCAGCAATACATTATAGAGCACCATGTGTGGGAAAGTGCAGGCTTATCTGAGCAGTCTTCCAGCAACTTGCTTCTGAGATCGGCCTGTCTATCGGCGGCTGTCATCCGCCCACAACTGCTCCTCTTTACTTCTTCTCCCCGTGTCCCTGTGCCGATCGTGAATGCGGGCGGTGAGCGTGAGGAGGGGAAGAGTTGCGGCGTGTGGAGCATGGATGCGGGCCGCAGTGGCGAGCGTGAGGTGGAGAGGAGGTGTGTCGCGCAGCGTGTGGAGCCGTGAACAGGGCAAACCAATGGGAAGCCGATTAATCGATGATTGAAAAAGTTGACAACTTTTTCAATAATCGATTATAATCGATTATGTCGATTAGTTGTTGCAGCCCTATGCTTAACACTGCCAAGTCACTGATTCCCAGGTATTGGAGAACAACTTAAACTCGATTCTACTAGGCTCTTCGAGGAACCATTGTTTTCTAATCATGATGATTATGCTTCCTTTTATAAAGATTGGGCATGCTGGTAGGACTTTAAAGACTCTAATTCATATTGTGTATATTTGTCAGGCCAATGACTCTTTAGTTGTATTGTACTGTTTGATGCTAGTTGCACCTTATGGTTCTCGTTTACTTACCTTTTGTCCTCCTAGACTCACGTACAGTATAGTGACCAGGTAGTTCTGGAAATTTGACTACTTTCATATACCACAGCCAGAGCTAGTCTTGGTCTCCCCCCTGCCCAGTTGTCTTTTCCCTTCTGTTCCCCTCCCTATTGTTTTCCTTGTGCTATTTGGCATGTACAATTCAGTATCCAACTTGCCTTTCTATGTTGCACTCACTTCTGATTGTGCATTGGACATGTCTTTATTGTAATTTTTGTTTCGATTTCTACTTTGGATTCGTATAGATATTTTTGGATGAGCATCTGGGCATTTACCTTGTAAACAGTGTGCTTCATCCAGTAATGTCAATGGGGACCTGGGGAAGCCTCCTCTACAGAGATTCGGCACATTAAATCCCTTCCCAGCAAGGATTCATCTCACTTTTAATTAATCTAATGTCAAGTTAAGGGTAAATTTAAACATTACAGTGGAACTAAAGTAAAAGAATAAGTTTCTTTGGTAGCATAGAATTATTTCCTTTTTTTAATTGTATACTTACTGTATGGGCAGTGCAGTTTACACTCAAGATCTGTAAGATGGCAGGAGTTCAGTCAAAAATCTAGACAATGTAGCTTAACTGTTCATGAGCAGTAGCTACATTAGAGGCCACCTAATGGCCTAAAAAAGAAGACACCTGGCTGGAAGAAAGATCCAGGAAGGTGGCAATGGCAGCGATGGAGCAACGAGGTAGAACACAGAACTTGCATCACTGGAGGAGGTGCTCTCAGGTCCTAGACTACTTTAGTTCCACTTAAAAGTTCAGTATTAGGGGTGCTTGTGAATTTAAAGGATTGATTGAGTCAGTCAAAGCAAAAGTGGACCTATTGAAAGACTGTGTTAAGAGCATAGCACATCACAAACTATAATCTGAAGTGGCATAGAAAATGAGAGACATATATTCAATGCAAAGGCGAGTACAACCCTTGGGTGAAAAAGTGGGTGTATCAACATTTCATTTTCCTAAGTTTAAAAACTATAATTGGCCACATGGCAAGGATAATGAGGTACATGACTCTATCCTTTTAATCAGAAGATCAGCTAATAACTTCAATAGACTACCAAGCTTAAAAGATTTTCCACCCAACGACATTCCACCCAATGCAGTTTACAGAAATATAAGTTATAACAGAGCTTTCTTTAAAGATGAACAAAATAAAGTGTACTTCCACATTCCCAGGGTGTAGGTAAAGCGTTAGGTGGAAAAGGAGGGTAGAGTATATGCAAACCCCAAATCTATTCAGTATGTTTGGCATTATCTGTGCTAAAGCAAATTATTTTGTGAATCTATTGCAAATGTTCTTACCTGAATATCCTGTCAGTAGCAGCACTTGCTGTGCATGCATCCTCAGTTGGCCATCAGGCTGCCAATCAGGTCGGTCAGATAGGCAGCCCAACAGCTGACTGAAGAAACTTGCCACCTAAGGGTGACAACACTGCAGCTAATTCTGAGGCAGTGGCTTGCTATTGTCAGGTTGCAAGAGAAGGTGCGGTTACTAGAAGGATCTCCAGGTTAGAAACATTGAAACAGATTTACAAAAACGGTTTGCTTAAAAAAAGGATATACAATAAGCCATGGTGTCAATCATACTAGAAAAACATAGATTTAGGGTTTTACAATCACTTTTAGTGAAAGGCTGAGATATGTGTCAGCAATAGGGATACACGAATACCGATACCAGAAGTCCCATTAGGGAGACATATAATGACTCGCTGCCCGGCTTTCCGATTACGTGCCTCCATGCTCCCTTGTCACCAGGTGACAAAGAAGCATGGAGCCGGCTTTCTGGCCAATCAGGAAGCCGGGGAGCGGGTAATGACTCGCCACCCGGCTTCCTGATTGGCCAGAAATCCGGCCCCATGCTCCCTGATGACGAGGGAGCATGGAGACAGCATCCCGACCAATTAGGAAGCTGGGCAGCATGTAATGACTCGCCACCCAGCTTCCTGATAGCTGAAGTTACAAGATCGGGAAAGGCATTGGGAGCATTTAGTTGAGTACGAGTACTCGGCCAAATATTCGGTATCGGCACCGATACTAGTATCGTTATTGATGCATCCCTAGTCAGTAATACATGATAGCTGGAGGTAGACTGTATGGGTGCTTACAGTTGAACTTTAGAGGTGTTCTCAAAAGGCTCATTCCTCACATTCCAGTGGTGAGTATTGGATGCCTTTAAGCAATCAATTTTAAAAAGTCCACAGACAACTAGACTGTAAGAACCACAGCTTCAGGGGAACACGGACCCACTATGCTAATTCTGTACTTGTTAGTACATGTGTGACTCACCATTCACAGTAAGAAGTACATAGCTCTGATGTAGTTGTTCTTTAGTTTGAATCTGTACTGTATAGTACCCATTGAAGTCTGTTCTGACCTTGTTGATCACCAAGGAGCCATTGCGTTGTCCGTGAGCTTCCGCAAAGTACTTTTCCCCTTTAAACTCTTGTTCTGGAGGGAAAAAGTTCAGGATTTGGTTGGAAGCATCTGTAGTTCGGCCTTTGTACCAAGTAGCAAATAGAATAGCTCCAGAAACTTCAGTGACTTTTAGGATGACAGTGTCTCCATCTTTAGGATTAGGCGGGCTCACTTCAATTTTAATTCCAGAGGCCAAATTCATGCAAACAGAAAGGGTAACTGGAAGAGACAAAACACTTGGTGAGCTCTGTTTATTTTAGTTTCTGTCGCAAATACAAATTGATAACCCCTATTAATCTATGTACAACAGTTCTCAACTTTTTTAACATGGAGGAATCCTTGAAACCTGCTAATAATTGCCTTAATTCCCTACATTTGAAAGGCTTCTCTTTTACCAGTGATTCAAGGCTTAATCCATAAGGGCTCCCTTCCCGCTCTTGAGACACTATTAGGAATGGGGGGCCAGATGGCATGTGGGCAGAGGAACCTTCCTGGCCAACATCACAGGCAGACCACCATGTCACTAAACCACCATTCAATCCCAACCCAAACCAGCTGCTATTTCACACTCCCCAGTTATAGGCTGTGCCATTACATCTCAAACTTAAGATGTAACTTGAGAACTTGCAGCCAGTCAAGTATTTGTGACAGCAGCGTTACTCATGACACCTGGCTGATGGTAAATTGTTATACTGAACTTAACTTCTCAAAAAAAAAACACTTAAGCTAAGACGGGATAAATATTGCACCCCTTGGTTTTTTTGTTATTATATACAGGAAAAAAAGGTGAAGATCTGTAGTTTAGTTCTCCCAAACTTCATTTTGAAAGTTTGTGCATGAAAAGGTTTTTGTAATAACATTTTTGGCCACCAGGTGGTGCACAGATCTTTGTAGGTGCTTGTTCAAGTGAAAATGCTGCAAATGTTTCTGAATGGACAAGATTAAAAAAGATTTAAAAAATTAATAAAATCTACAGCAAAATCCTACTAATCAGATTACTGATATATAGGGGGTGATTTACTAACCTAAACACACACACACACCAGGTGTGTGTGATTTTCACACAGCAAAACGTATTTATCAACCAAAAAGTCTCTAAAAGCATATTTCCACTAATGCCATATATGGAAAAATCATGCACATGATGCATATATAATGCTGCTTCACAGTTTAGACAAAAATGGTTAGCTCATGCATTTACATTCCTGCATTCATCAACGCAAGCAACATAACATAGAGCTAATTTACACCACATTACCTTGCAATTCATTGCAGGGCTTTCAACAACACACCTGCTGGGTGTGTACACACTACAAAGGTGTTTCGATTCCTCCCATAGATCATGCTGGGAGGGAACACACTACAGAGGTGTATGCACGTTCGTGGTGTGTTTAAAAGGTTAGTAAATCAACCCCATAGTCTCCCACTTAGGCTCGATGGGCATAAACTAAGCCCTGATGTAGAAGACATTCTCGCCTGCGATCAAACGCTGTTCATACAGTATAAACATATCTAATGTAGCATTTTTAGATACATTATCTTCATTTTAAAAGCTGATTAAAGTGGAGCTACCACCTTAATTATAGAGGACTAGTCACAAATGAGGTTTTGCACGAATTTGAATGATGAAATGGAACTAAACCCACCGATTCAACTGTTTCCCAAAAGAAATATTAAATAAATGTTATTAACTCCTTTACACCTTGCTGACCAGCTTACACATGGAGGTTAGTTTATAAAAAAAATTCTCATTATAAAGAATATCTGTGAACGTGTGTCCTGTGCAAATTTATGCACACATGGACGTCCTTTAGATTTTTCCAAGAGTGTGAAGAATTTGGAGAAGGCAGGAGAAGTGAACAATCTAGGACAAAATAGCCGATTTGGAAAAATTCTCCACTTCAGCTCACTTTCCAGTTCAGCTATGTTGTCCTAGATTGTTCCCTTCTCCTGCCTTCTCCAAACTCTTCACCCTTTTGTGAATAACCCTGTAAGTATAATTCAATTTAAACATTGACTGCTCTATTGCATTATGGCCGCCAGATAGCGGTAAAGAAACATTGGAAGCTGATTTCTCTGAACCTAAGTCAGGTGGGATCAAAATATAAACTTTTGAACTTTTGTTCTGTCCTTACCTCCAAGAACCCAGGATTTGATAATGGCCGTCCAGATGCTTGGCATTTTAGCGATAACAAAGCGCCAACCTAAGTCAAAGAGAACACAAAAAAGAATCTACGTATGAAACTATTTCACACTTCCAGCTTATTCTCTTATCAGCTGGATGGTAAGAATGTGACTTACACCCTATAAATAGAGACATTCTGAGTGTGAAATCTTTAGAATGTGGTTGGATCCAGCAGTAACCATACACAAAACAGAGCGAGGTTGCATTTCAAAGCTGGATAGACTGGAGATAGTGGACCCCATATATTGGTGCACACAAAGGGCCCTAATAAACAGAGGTCCCTCAGAGTCCCCCATTTATTAAGTGAATATTGTACAGTGAGAGTGCACGCCTGCTTCTTCTGCTCTCTCCCCCGTGATCAGGAAGTGATCACTGAGGGGACCTACAAGTGTAGACACAGCAGCACAGATCTGCCCACTCTCTGCAGTGAAACACCCATCACAGGGAACCTGCTTGCTCAGCCAGGCAGAGGAAGGAAAAAGGCAGCACTGTACAGATGCTTATCAGAGGGAGTCAGACCGATGTGCAGATCTAAGCCTGGTCAGACCAGGCTGAGATCTGTGGCTAATATGTGCGCTACATTCTTTTTTTAACAATCAACTGAGCTGGCTAGAGCTAGCTTCTGAAGAAGTATACTCACCGTCTTGACCCATTTTGCTGTGGGCCCCCCAGAGGAGCAAGAGAGCCCGTAAACCATGGCAGTGGGCAGTGCCTTTGGAGGCCAGTACAAGTGATCGGGGGGCTCTATGGCGACCCAGATCACTTGTATTCAAAAGCCTTCCCCCTGCTCTAAAAAAATGGCAGCAGTCGTGATCTTGGTACAACCACTTAAAAACCAGGATGTACATGTACGTCCTATGGTCCTTAATTGGTATTGAAAATAACTTTTTTATTTACATTGGCATGTGTAAATGTATATGCGATTTTCGTGCCTGACAATTCCAAGAAAACAAAACTAACATTTTTTGGAAAAAGTATGGTTAGTATTCTCCTCTTCTACACTCCCGCTTATTACCAATGCAACTACAACTACAGAAATCTATCCTTATCACGTGCTGTGCAATAATGATAATGAATTACAACAGAAGGCCTATTCTCTAACTAGTGCCCAGTGAGGAGCAGCACAGACAATAGGACAAAGTCAACCCATACAAAAATGCCTTGTACAAGTGGAGCCAAAAGCTGCTTAGGAAACAGCAAATATGTGTTAGAAGTGAAGCACACCATCCATTCCACACTAAGTGAGATACTTAAGCTCTCAAGCTTTGTTTAAAAAGCATCAGGGGTCACTAAGAGGTTGCAAATTCCATTACCTGAAAACTCCTTAAAAACTTTAGCCTAGAGAAGTGTTTACAAGACTGAGAAATCAGCATCTGCAGGCAGTGATCTTAGATCTTTTTTTTTTCAAATTCTTTATTTATAAAGGCAAGCACCACAGTTACAGCCATGTACAAAACAGGCAGTGTCATCCGCAAGTACAATCAAAGACAGTATAATCCAGTGGCTTCAAGGTAGACATAGTACAGCAATAATCTCCAACATGTATTGTGGGGCACCAGCAATATCTTTTAAGTTTTTTTGCTGAATACAACTGTGCGGCAGCTAGTGAGAAATTCCTCTCACTGACTTACCCGAAAAACAAGAGACATGCAGCAGCACTGCTGCCAAGAATAGACAAAGAAAAGGACATAAGAGAGGAAGATTTAGAAAGACTAGAAAAGGAAAGCAATGCATCCCATCTCCTCTCCCCCAACCCCTCCCCGCGTATCCCTCCAGCCCAAGAAGGCAACCCACAAGGGTCACCTATGGGCAAGGAGTGTGTCGCCCCCTCCATACGGTCCAAGCACTTCAAGCTAAGCGTGCCCTGGAGTACTCTTCTGAGTTTCGAAATTATCCATGTCGAATCCATGTCGCCCAAGTAAGAACAAATTTGTCTTGCGTGTCTCTCAGGGATAAAGTCAGGTCTTCCATCGATTCAATCTCCTCCACCCTCCACAGCCATATTGCCATTGAGGGGGGCTTTGGGCTCTTCCATTGAGCGGGGATACAAGCCCTCACTTCATTGATCAAATGGATTGCCAAAGAGCGCTTGTATGCTTTCCTTGAAAGCAGTGCAAGGTGAAGGAGGAAGACCGATGGTGTAAACGACAGATCCAACCCAGTCAATGTCTGTATTAGGTCAGCTCCCCCCCTCCAAAATGGTTGGATCAGGGGGCAATCCCAAAAGATATGCTGAAGGGTACCTACAACATCGCCACACCTCCAACACATGGGTGATCTTGGATCTTAAACTGATACTAAACTCAGAAGTTAAATCTTAAAAATGCATTCAAGAACCTTAACTATTAACAAAAACGTTTATTTTTTATTTTTGTGTGTTGTCTATGTCTGGTGGCATTAGGGGCTACACTTATTTTGACCTTTTTATTGGGTTAATACCTCTCCGAATGGACCCATGTCCTCACTTCAATGATGTTGGCCCAGGGCCCTATCTCCCTCACGTGCGATAGTCTCCTTTGAGTTGGACCACACTGTCAGTAAAGTTCCCTGTGGGGGTGGGTTGCTTGACTGGGAGTTGGGCCCACCCAAGGGTCCTCTGTCATATATACTTACTGTTTAAGTTATGATATGGTGTGTCCTTGAGTATTGCTCACCTTTTGTTGCCTTCTGTATGTTTTTACATTATATTGTGTGTGAAAATCTTTAATAATAACAATTTCTGCAAAAAAAAACCCCAAAAATGTATCTTATTTGTGCATCACTCAGCTGTAGATCCTCAAATAATCTGAATTGGTGCAGACACTGTCCTTCCTTCTGGAGGGGGGCTACTTTTGTTCTCCATGGTCCCTGTGTGTGTTGTAAAGTAGTCACCGCTCCAAGCTCACTCCTGTGATGGACTACAATATTAATAACAATTACTAAACTAACATGAGATGCCAATACCGGTGCTTTACATTTTTAAATGTAAGCAGCTGCCTGAGGTCCCGTGCTTGGGGGGGACCTCGTCAGCCTTCATGTGAACAGCGCGGCCTGTTTACAGCGCCTCCGCACTGGGGAACCACCGGCGCTGCTTACAGCACTTCCAGTGCCAGCACCCGGCCAAGAGACCCTCCGGACCGCTCTTTAGACTCTGCATAGCCCTCCTGGGACCCTGCACAGCCCTCTTGAGACCCTACACTGGAAATATCAGGCTAGAACCTTGGAGCAGCACAGAGTATTTAGCTTCATAATATTCTGCATTGCTGTATACTGTTTTGCTGGGCTTTGCAGTCCTCTATAGCTGATGGTATTATAATAATACCATCAGCTATAGAGGACTGCAAAGCCCAGCAAAACAGTATACAGCAATGCTGAATGGCAACCGGCTACAAAGGACTACAAATTCCAGCAATGCAGAATAATTATTTTATTCTGCATTGATGTATAATGCATTGCTGGGATTTGTAGTCCTCTATAGCCAGTTGTCATTCGGCATTGCTGTACATTGTATTGCTGGGATTTGCAGTCCTCTATAGCCGGTTGCCATTTGGCATTGCTGTATAATGTATTGCTTGGATTTGTAGTCCTCTATATCCAATTTCCATTCAGCATTGCTATATAATCAATTGCTGGGATTTGTATTCCTCTATATCCAGTTGCCATTCAGTATTGCTGTATAATGGATTGCAGGGATTTGTAATCCCTCTACAGCTAGGAGATAGTTGTAGATCTACCAGGGTCACAGAAGTTGCAGCTGCGACCGGACCCTTGCGCTTCATCACCGTCATAAAATCATTAGTCTGTATTGTATTAGAAAGACTGTCACATGACATTTTTTTTGTCTGTCCAGAGTCTTAAGGTGCCCATACACCTTACAATTATCGGACGAAACTTTTCCTCCGATGATCAAACCGTCGTACGATTTTCGTACGACGGCCCCATCCTGCCCCAATTATCGCAAGTTTCAATTAGCGGTAGTTAAAAAAAAACACCTGGACGACTTGCGGTAATTGACCGCAATTATTTTCATTTGCGCATGCGCAGTGTTAATTGTACGACTTTTGACGTACGGAAACCATGCGAACATCGTACGATCGACCAAAGTTTTCAAACATGCTTGACCGTCAAAAGTCGTACGATTGTACAGTACTATCGGTCGGGCACTCTATTCACACGTTACGACTGTGGTACGAAAAGTTGATTGCATACGATTATCGTATGATAATCGTAAAGTGTATGGAAACCTTAAGCCTGTATGCAGTCTTCAAGACCATGTGCTGCATAACCCTGTTTTTACACTTCTCAGTCATCTGGAGACAATCATCTCAGCCACACAAATGTTTCTAATTATAAGAGGCACTGAGGGTCAGTACGGGTCTTGGAGCAGAATCATGACCCAATCACTCTGCACTGTTTGGGAAATAGCTTTAGATATACTGAACAATAAATGGCAAAGAAAGTAAATGCACCGTACAGTAAATACCAACAAACTTAAAGGAGCAGTTCACCCAAAACTAACATAGTTCAGTTGTAATGAGATGCTGCAGATTTCAAGGCCACGTACATAATTTTTTTATCTTTAAAACATAAACAATGTCATTTCTGTACTATTGCAGAATATGTCCGATATGCACAATGCACCGCTCAAATATGTACAATGGGAAGCCGCACTTCCGGCTCCCTGCTGCATCGGAACATGGTCTATGGTAGGCACTATTTCCGGTGTTGTGCATCCGTCCACTTACTGTGCTGTGCTATTTCATTGTCAGGTTAAGAATGAGTTCACTGACTCCAGTTAGGTGGCTCCAAGCAGCCAGGCTTTCTTCACCGGATATCCGAAAGATGCAGATATGGATCAACAAAGATGGGTGACAAACCAAACAAATATCAGTGTCTATAAAACGTGTTTACTGTTTACATGTCGATCAACTTCATAAATTATATAATGTGTTTGGAGAGCAAACACACCCCCCCCCCCCTTCATCAGGGTAGGGGTCAGATAAAAACTTAAAGAGTACTTAAAGTAGCAGAGCTTTGTTT